TTCTATGATTCTATGATTCTATGCCAATGTGTCCTGTCTTTCTTTCAGACCTTGATAATGTTTTTATTTTTAGACTACAAACACCAAACTTTGGTTTACTGCATGCTTGTTAGATTTTTAAAAATTGTTATAATGTGATTCTTCTTTTACATAAACTTGGACTTCATGAACTTGGATTTCTTTTATTCTATAATGAGCCACGACAAGGGGAAAAATCATTCTCTGATTGACAATCCATTGTACTTCTAATGGCTGATTATATAGACACATTCTGATGAATGTTGTTCGATAGTGTAGTGGCTCTTCTTTCAGCCTATCTGTGCACTTCATGGTTGCTTTGGTCTAGAAATATAAAATACATCCTCTGTGTGGCTTGGTGTAATCTTTCAGATAGTAGTGTCATACTGTAGTAACATAGTATTAGCTTTCAGAAAGTTAAATCTTGTCTACATGGGCTAAATAAAATCCCTCCTGCTGCCCTCTCAGCAGGGAGACAGGACAATGCATGGCCCAAATCCTGGTTCTCGTACCGAGTAAATGGTGGCCAGCCTGTTCAGCACCAGAACTGGAGTATAACATCCTTAACATGCATTAAAATATCTTTCTATTTACCCCAGATGTTCCTGGAATATTCAGAATCCTCTATTCCAACATCAGGTGCTTGTTTGAAACACATCTTGCTCTGCTGCCTGGTGCATCCATCACTGCCACTGCTCATTTGCTCTGTGGTCAGATCCAGGTGTCCAGCCATGTGATCGAGGCTGGGGACCTTGTTCTGACTTCAGAACAAAGCAACACATGGTAGCAGTGGATATGCTGGGCAACTGAGCAGGACGCACTTGCAGTCACCCACCTGGTGTCAGAAGGGAGAGTGTTTGCAACAGGAGAGGAACAAGACAGCTCTGGGGCCAGGATACTTTGGGCTACCCTATGCCAGTGAAGACAGAAACCTAATCACAAATTGAAATATTTGTGCTCACCACTACTCTAGTAAATAGCACTTAACTCTGATATTATGGGAATCTGTCAGAAGTCGTTCTATAATTGCTTGTATCATGATGACAAGTGTTTTTCATTTGTTATGCTGCCTGTTTAGAAAACAAAGAAAAAGGCCTACATTTGTAACACAGTCCTATAAATTTGCTGTGGGAATGGACATAGCTTTTTAGTGGCAGGTTCTGCTCTGAGTCCCACACATGTGCTCCCATATCTGAGGCATCCCAACATTGGATCCCAACATCCCAACACCAGGCTTCACAAATTGAAGGGAATGTGGATGACTGACTGCGATTTCCACCTCCACCTGTGCATACTTGTTTGGCATGCATTTAATGTTGAGTAGGGCTTGTATGTGAACTCTCACGTTTGTTTGTTTTTTAAAAGCCACATGTTACTGTTACAATGACAGATCACCAGGTTTTGAAAGTCACTGGGTGAGGATCAGGGAGAAAATGATTTCAGGGAAGGAACCTTGCCATGATTGACACAAGCAGGGGACTGTATTGTTTTTTATACTTGTGTTCTATGTTTAGCATATTCACTAATGATGTTGTCCAGAAAACTGTGTGGTAGATATATGTGCATAAGCATCATAGTTAACAGTGTTACAAGGTGAATTCTGGCCCATTTATTAGGAAGCAGTTATTGCAGTCGACAGGGGCCTGTTCCTCTATCGCTTGAGATGCATCTGATGCCATTTCAATCCCCCCCCCACCTCTTATGTGTGATCTCCAGTGTGACAAACAGAAGCATGTCTCCTGTTGCAATTCCCCATGGTGCTGGAGATCAGTCACATGAGGGAGTGGGTGGGAACGTCAGTCAGGTGCTTCTTGAGCAATGGGAATAGATCCCTGCCAATCACAGTGGCTGTTGACTGGTAAGTAGGGATGGGGGACATGTACAGTCCGTACGTGTGTAGTGGTTTGAGCACTGGACTGTGACTCTGGAGACCAAGTTTTGATTCTCCACTC